TATTTACCAGTGAATGTGGTGTTCTCAACGTGGACCGATTTTGTGTAATAAGAGCTAGCTTTTAATTGTCCGAAGCGTGTCAGTGCTCTGGGAAGAGCGGGCCTGTTGTCCGAGTGTTGCGTCTCCAGGGGTGAAAGCCTCTAGGGGGCGCTGTTGGCCACATTGTAAATTCTACTAGAGTTTTATTAATGTGAACTTCTTGCTGCTTATCTTGGCTGTTATTTCTCTCTTGGCCCTTACCATCTCTCCACACACAGTTAGGGGTGACCCCGAATAGTCGAAGATTCGATGCATCGATATGCGGAGCCTGATTCGACCACTGATCTCACAGTCGAATCTTCGTTCGCGGGATTTATGAAACGTGGATCATACCATTTTGGCAATATGGGGGTGCTCAATGTCTAATTTCACACAGAATTACTGATTTTGTGCGGTTATAGTAAGTTATATACAGCCTTTAATTATGATAATGCTGTAAAAAAAAACGTGAAAAGAAAGAAGCGTTCAATAAATATTTTTAACGTTTGTGTGTGTTAATAAATCCAACCACCGCTCACCGCTGTGACAGATTTAAGTTTCACTTTCCCTGATCCGTGACAGACGAGGAGCATCTTGACGGCAGGGATTACAATGTCTGGAACAAAAAAATCTAAAGTGTGGATGCACTTTGAAATGGTTAAAGATGATCCAAAAAAAGTAAAATGCAAGTTGTGCCAACAGCTTATGTCCTACCACTCATCAACAACAAATATGGCTTTCCACTTAAAACGGGTAAGTTTCTTAGCTTCAGAAGCTAAGCTTCCAATAAGGATGGTTCACTCTTTAACTGGCGCTTTTAATTTACGAATAGCAATATCATATGTTGGGACTTAGAATATGTTCGTCTTTTTTCTAGATCCACCCACAGTATCAGACTAACGACGGCAGTTCATCTAGTAGTAGTACCGGAGCTGCGCCAAAACTAACTCAAAGAAAGCTAGATTTGAGACCGCCATTGTCCGAGAAAAGGAAAAGAGAAATCACGGGCAAAATTGCAGAGTTTATTGCGCTCGACATGAGGCCAGTGAATGTTGTGGACGGTGAAGGTTTTAAAGAATTAATGCGCACACTTGAGCCAGGATACACAGTTCCCAAAAGAGAGACGGTTATGCATGCGGTGGATGCGAAATACGCGTCCATACGCGCGGAGGTTTACATGTTAATAAGCAATTGCAAAGCAGTCAGCCTCACCACAGATATTTGGACCTCGCTGCAAATGGAGGCATATCTTACAGTTACAGCCCACTTTATTACTGAAGCCTGGCGACTGGAAAATTTTGTGTTGGCAACAAAAAAAATGGAGGAAAGTCATACAGCAGAACATATTTCACAAACACTGAAAGAAGTCATTTCTGATTGGGACATTCCAGGCACTAAGATCGTTTCTGTTGTCCATGACAATGCAACGAATATGGTTGCATGCACCAATCAACTGGCCCAAGACCCATCGTGGGGAACTGTACAGGGAGTCCGTTGTGCGGGGCATACACTGCAATTGTGCATTAACAGCGCATTAAAGAAAGATCCCGTGTGTCGCACTGTCGCTGCTGCAAGGCGCCTTGTTTCACACTTCAAAAAAAGCGCCAAGGCCACAACAGCACTTGCAGAAAAACAAAGAGAACTGAATGTTGCAGAGCATAAACTTGTACAAGATGTTGCCACTCGATGGAATTCTGTCTATCTTATGCTCGATCGCCTGTTAGAACAAAGGGGTGCAGTTTCAGCCGTGCTGACTGATTCAAGTGTCAGCAAACGGTCCGACCGTGATCTAGAGCTCACAACATCCCAGTGGAGAATGGCAGAGGACATAGTCAATGTTCTCAAGCCAATGATCAAACTGACAGAGCTTTTGTCACAAGATATGAACGCATCTCTGTCTGCCACTGTTCCGATGCTTATGAACATTAAGAAACGACACTTGGTGGTACATGAAGACGACAGCGCTGTTACTAAGACCCTCAAGATTACCCTGACCGAGGATATTGACAGACGATGGGAGCTTAAAGGCCGTCTTTTGGAGAGCAGTATTTATATCAAGGCTGCAATTCTTGACCCACGTTTTAAGAAGCTTTCCTTTTTCACTGATGATGAGCAAAGGAATGAGGCGTATGCTGTGGTGGAAAATCTGGCTGAGAGTTTAGCTGCCAGGCCTGTACAGGAGGTAGGTGATGACAGTGAATTGGTGGAGGAGCGTGATATTGCAGGCCCTTCAAGACAAGAAAAAGAGAAAGACCAAGTGATGTCGATGCTGTTGTCCAGCGATGAAGAGGAGCAACAGCCAGGGGACAGTGAAATGAGGGCTTATTTAAAGGACACTACAAGAAGCAGTACAGGACCACTGGAATGGTGGCAAAAGAATGAGGAGAGATACCCAAAGCTGTCCAGGGCCGCAAAGAGATTCCTCAGCATCCCATCTACTTCCACACCATCAGAAAGAATTTTCTCCAAGGCTGGATTTATTATCAGTAAAACCAGGAGCGCACTGCTGCCGGCCAACGTCAACAAGTTGGTTTTCCTCGCACACAACTTAAAAAGACTCAAACGTGCACAAGCAGAGTGAAAGACTGGATTTTTTTTGATCGGGTAGGGTACAAGTGTTTTCAAACATTTCAGCCGTTTCTAATTTTAATTTGCTGTGAACATGTTTAGCTAAAAAAAACTGCCAGTTTGGCGTTTATTGTTATTTTGGCAGTTAAAAGGAGAAGGTTCACAATTCTGGCTAAACTTTCGTTGTTTTAATAATTTATTTATTTTAATTTTATTTATTGATCACTCAGGGTTACTTAATTTAACTTGTATTTTTTTTAAATATGTGTTCCCCTGTACTTTGGCATTTTGCACACATTTATTATGCTCCCTGTGACTTGATTCTGACTATTTCGTTTTTATTTATTTTTTATTATAAGAAATATATATTCTGTTCTAATTTAATTCTGTAAATTAATGCTTTTTTTTTTCTTTTCGTTGTGTCGATGTTGCGCTGCACTGAAAGCATGCTAGCACAGGCAATTTTGCCGATTTAATTTAATTTCGCAAAATGTGAAATGCTAATCCTGTCTGCAGTCAGTGTGTTCTTTTCCGATCTAGGCAGGTATTTTTTTTAGGTTTATTTATCAAAATGTTCTTTTAGATATTTGTGTGATGTTCTGTATTTCGATCGCGGCTTTAAAATGTTATGAGAGAACGTTTTACGAATGTTTATCCACCACATTACCTTTTATTAAACGTAAATAAGAAAGCCATTGTCATTGGCAGGCAGTTTTGGTCGCTTTATTAAAAGTTGTTGCTGTGTGCAGTGTGTAAAATAAAATAAAAATAGTTTTACCCTCCTGCTGACTACCTAGTGTCGTGCCCCTCCCAACACATTCACACACACACATAGATGATTCGACTATCAGTCGACTATAGAAAGATTCGAAAATTCTGATTCGAATGTGTAAATCCTTAGTCGGGGACACCCCTACACACAGTATAACCTTTTTTGACACTGTGCGATTCATCTTTTACTCATTATATAGTTAATATCAAACAAGAAAACATCTCAGGACTATATAGTTCTGCAAAAAAATTAAAAATAAATAAAAGAATGAAATCAAGTTCATTTATTTAAAAGAAATGCAACACTACATTACTAAGCCTGTGCCGAGGGTGGCAATGCTTGGTATTGTTCAGAAAGAAATGCATTTCTGATTTGATCTACAACACATGATGGGAAAACAACACGGACACTTCTCCACAAGTAGCACCAGCACCTCCTGACTAATGTCCTGTAGAAAGTGCACACTGGTCAACCAGTTATGACCACTAGGGGTGGTGATGGCGCAGTGGGTAAGACACACGCCTTTGGTGTGAGAGACCCAGGTTCGAATCCACTGTGAGACACTGATATGTCCCTGAGCAACACACTTAACCCCTAGTTGCTCCAGAGGCGTGCGACCTCTGACATATATAGCAATTGTAAGTCGCTTGATAAAAGCGTCAGCTAAATGAATAAATGTAAATGTATATTCACACAGTCATAGGAGGGGTGTTGCAAACTAAGTAACCAAAAAAATAAAGCTTGACATTTTCAAAGACATAAAGGATAACAAGGGTCGATATTTTCCAGTAAAAGGTAAATCAGTAATAATCTTATGACATAGGTTAACATCTGCACACCACCTGAATGCAAAACAACGAAAAAGAATTTATATAGAATTCTTTATAAAGAATTCTTTGATGCGCTCACAGCAGAAGCGGAAGGGATCTGTGTGTGTGGAGGGGATTGGAATACAGTCTTAAATTTGAAACTAGATTCCAAAAATAGAAGTAATATTGAGTTTAATTGGACTCAATATTTTACCATACCTCTGTAGTATTTGTTCTAGTTTTTCATTTTTTAACAAATGGCAGTGTGTTTGACAAAATAAACTTCTTGGCCGGGGTTGACAAAGGCAATACAGGTACAAAAATATCTTTGATTACCAACCCAGTTTTAATCAAGTTATCCACCATTTGGCTTTCACTGAGAAACAACACAATGGCTTTGTTCATACGAGAAGTGGATCTGATATTTGCACCACCGTTCGCCGCACTCACAGCTATCACACAATTCTCCACTGACACCGGCCTCAGGCATGCATTTGCAACGTGTTAACAGTGAGAACCTGTTCCTGACCCCATTATCCCCACTCACTGACCGAAGTCAGGAAAAAAACTTAGCTAAACCTATAATATGTAACTAACAAAAAAATGAAAATCAAAAGAAAAGTAAAGAAATCTCACTCATACAGAGATATACTCTCACTCCCAACAACCGACTCCTTCCACACTCACTCCGCACATGCGCACAGAGAGAGAGAGAGAGAGAGAGAGAGAGAGAGAGTGTGTGTGCGAGTGCGATTCTGTGACTGACTGACTGCTGCTGCTGAGGCCGACAGGGAGAGTTAGAGAGAGAGAGAGAGAGCAGAGAGAGAGAGAGTTAGAGAGAGAGAGCTGAGAGAGAGAGAGTCAAAGAAACACAGAGAGCTTCTGAGGGAGATTCAGTGCTTCAGTAGCATCAAGGATCCGACAAACACAAAACACTGACGAGCTGCTGCAGAAAGACTCGCGAGGAAGACTCGCACTCCACAGGGATTCATAACCAAGCACATCAATGCTGCTCATCCCGGGCCGGGCTTTGCTTCTCTCTCTCCTCCTGGCAGTCTCACAGGTAAATGTTTGAGTAGGAATGTGACAGCTAACAGTGAAGCTATATCTGGAGAATAACTGGCGCGAGGTGGATTATGCTTTTTGGCTGTTTGTGTGCTAGGGTATATTCCAGAAAGCAGGTTATGTGACATACCCGGGTATGTTTAAGAGTAAGTTAGCGGATAACTTCAACTTTCGGTTCCAAAATGGAGGTAACTTCAAGGGTATGTAAGTAGCCAATTAAACTTACATTTGTATATAAGCTGCTTCGGAGCAGCTCATTATCCAGGATTGGTTTACTTCAGAGTTGTTCAGGGTTAGTTTACTTCAGAAGTGTTCAGGGTTAGTTTACTTCAGAAGTGTTGAGGGATAGTTTACTTCAGAAGTGTTCAGGATTAGTTTACTTCAGAAGTGTTCAGGGTTAGTTTACTTCAGGAGTGTTCAGGATTAGTTTACTTCAGAAGTGTTCAGGGTTAGTTTACTTCAAGAGTGTTCAGGATTAGTTTACTTCAGAAGTGTTGAGGGATTAGTTTACTTCAGAAGTGTTGAGGGATAGTTTACTTCAGAAGTGTTCAGGGTTAGTTTACTTCAGAAGTGTTCAGGGTTAGTTTACTTCAGAAGTGTTCAGGGTTAGTTTACTTCAGGAGTGTTCAGGATTAGTTTACTTCAGGAGTGTTCAGGATTAGTTTACTTCAGAAGTGTTCAGGGTTAGTTTACTTCAGAAGTGTTCAGGGTTAGTTTACTTCAGGAGTGTTCAGGATTAGTTTAATTCAGAAGTGTTCTGGGTTAGTTTACTTCAGGAGTGTTCAGGATTAGTTTACTTCAGAAGTGTTGAGGCTTAGTTTACTTCAGAAGTGTTCAGGATTAGTTTACTTTAGAAGTGTTCAGGGTTAGTTTACTTCAGAAGTGTTGAGGCTTAGTTTACTTCAGAAGTGTTCAGGATTAGTTTACTTCAGAAGTGTTCAGGATTAGTTTACTTCAGAAGTGTTCAGGGTTAGTTTACTTCAGGAGTGTTCAGGATTAGTTTACTTCAGGAGTGTTCAGGATTAGTTTACTTCAGAAGTGTTGAGGGATAGTTTACTTCAGAAGTGTTCAGGATTAGTTTACTTCAGAAGTGTTCAGGGTTAGTTTACTTCAGGAGTGTTCAGGATTAGTTTACTTCAGAAGTGTTCAGGGTTAGTTTACTTCAGAAGTGTTCAGGGTTAGTTTACTTCAGAAGTGTTCAGGGTTAGTTTACTTCAGAAGTGTTCAGGGTTAGTTTACTTCAGAAGTGTTCAGGGTTAGTTTACTTTAGGAGTGTTCAGGATTAGTTTACTTCAGGAGTGTTCAGGATTAGTTTACTTCAGAAGTGTTCAGGGTTAGTTTACTTCAGAAGTGTTCAGGGTTAGTTTACTTCAGGAGTGTTCAGGATTAGTTTAATTCAGAAGTGTTCTGGGTTAGTTTACTTCAGGAGTGTTCAGGATTAGTTTACTTCAGAAGTGTTGAGGCTTAGTTTACTTCAGAAGTGTTCAGGATTAGTTTACTTCAGGAGTGTTCAGGATTAGTTTACTTCAGAAGTGTTGAGGCTTAGTTTACTTCAGAAGTGTTCAGGATTAGTTTACTTTAGAAGTGTTCAGGGTTAGTTTACTTCAGAAGTGTTGAGGCTTAGTTTACTTCAGAAGTGTTCAGGATTAGTTTACTTCAGAAGTGTTCAAGATTAGTTTACTTCAGAAGTGTTCAGGGTTAGTTTACTTCAGGAGTGTTCAGGATTAGTTTACTTCAGGAGTGTTCAGGATTAGTTTACTTCAGAAGTGTTGAGGGATAGTTTACTTCAGAAGTGTTCAGGATTAGTTTACTTCAGAAGTGTTCAGGGTTAGTTTACTTCAGGAGTGTTCAGGATTAGTTTACTTCAGAAGTGTTCAGGGTTAGTTTACTTCAGAAGTGTTCAGGGTTAGTTTACTTCAGAAGTGTTCAGGGTTAGTTTACTTCAGAAGTGTTCAGGGTTAGTTTACTTCAGAAGTGTTCAGGGTTAGTTTACTTCAGGAGTGTTCAGGATTAGTTTACTTCAGGAGTGTTCAGGATTAGTTTACTTCAGGAGTGTTCAGGATTAGTTTACTTCAGAAGTGTTCAGGGTTAGTTTACTTCAGAAGTGTTCAGGATTAGTTTACTTCAGAAGTGTTCAGGGTTAGTTTACTTCAGGAGTGTTCAGGATTAGTTTACTTCAGAAGTGTTCAGGGTTAGTTTACTTCAGAAGTGTTCAGGATTAGTTTACTTCAGAAGTGTTCAGGGTTAGTTTACTTCAGAAGTGTTCAGGGTTAGTTTACTTCAGGAGTGTTCAGGGTTAGTTTACTTCAGGAGTGTTCAGGATTAGTTTACTTCAGAGGTGTTCAGGATTAGTTTACTTCAGAAGTGTTCAGGGTTAGTTTACTTCAGGAGTGTTCAGGGTTAGTTTACTTCAGGAGTGTTCAGGATTAGTTTACTTCAGAAGTGTTCAGGGTTAGTTTACTTCAGGAGTGTTCAGGGTTAGTTTACTTCAGGAGTGTTCAGGATTAGTTTACTTCAGAAGTGTTCAGGGTTAGTTTACTTCAGGAGTGTTCAGGGTTAGTTTACTTCAGGAGTGTTCAGGATTAGTTTACTTCAGAGGTGTTCAGGATTAGTTTACTTCAGAAGTGTTCAGGGTTAGTTTACTTCAGAAGTGTTCAGGGTTAGTTTACTTCAGGAGTGTTCAGGGTTAGTTTACTTCAGAAGTGTTCAGGGTTAGTTTACTTCAGGAGTGTTCATGGTTAGTTTACTTCAGAAGTGTTCAGGATTAGTTTACTTCAGGAGTGTTCAGGGTTAGTTTACTTCAGAAGTGTTCAGGGTTAGTTTACTTCAGGAGTGTTCAGGGTTAGTTTACTTCAGAAGTGTTCAGGGTTAGTTTACTTCAGGAGTGTTCATGGTTAGTTTACTTCAGAAGTGTTCAGGATTAGTTTACTTCAGGAGTGTTCAGGGTTAGTTTACTTCAGAAGTGTTCAGGGTTAGTTTACTTCAGGAGTGTTCAGGGTTAGTTTACTTCAGAAGTGTTCAGGGTTAGTTTACTTCAGGAGTGTTCAGGGTTAGTTTACTTCAGGAGTGTTCAGGATTAGTTTACTTCAGAGGTGTTCAGGATTAGTTTACTTCAGAAGTGTTCAGGGTTAGTTTACTTCAGAAGTGTTCAGGGTTAGTTTACTTCAGAAGTGTTCAGGGTTAGTTTACTTCAGGAGTGTTCAGGGTTAGTTTACTTCAGGAGTGTTCAGGATTAGTTTACTTCAGAAGTGTTCAGGGTTAGTTTACTTCAGGAGTGTTCAGGGTTAGTTTACTTCAGGAGTGTTCAGGATTAGTTTACTTCAGAGGTGTTCAGGATTAGTTTACTTCAGAAGTGTTCAGGGTTAGTTTACTTCAGAAGTGTTCAGGGTTAGTTTACTTCAGGAGTGTTCAGGGTTAGTTTACTTCAGAAGTGTTCAGGGTTAGTTTACTTCAGGAGTGTTCATGGTTAGTTTACTTCAGAAGTGTTCAGGATTAGTTTACTTCAGGAGTGTTCAGGGTTAGTTTACTTCAGAAGTGTTCAGGGTTAGTTTACTTCAGGAGTGTTCAGGGTTAGTTTACTTCAGAAGTGTTCAGGGTTAGTTTACTTCAGGAGTGTTCATGGTTAGTTTACTTCAGAAGTGTTCAGGATTAGTTTACTTCAGGAGTGTTCAGGGTTAGTTTACTTCAGAAGTGTTCAGGGTTAGTTTACTTCAGGAGTGTTCAGGGTTAGTTTACTTCAGAAGTGTTCAGGGTTAGTTTACTTCAGGAGTGTTCAGGGTTAGTTTACTTCAGGAGTGTTCAGGATTAGTTTACTTCAGAGGTGTTCAGGATTAGTTTACTTCAGAAGTGTTCAGGGTTAGTTTACTTCAGAAGTGTTCAGGGTTAGTTTACTTCAGGAGTGTTCAGGGTTAGTTTACTTCAGAAGTGTTCAGGGTTAGTTTACTTCAGGAGTGTTCATGGTTAGTTTACTTCAGAAGTGTTCAGGATTAGTTTACTTCAGAGGTGTTAAGGATTAGTTTACTTCAGAAGTGTTCAGGGTTAGTTTACTTCAGAAGTGTTCAGGATTAGTTTACTTCAGAAGTGTTTAGGGTTAGTTTACTTCAGAAGTGTTCAGGGTTAGTTTACTTCAGAAGTGTTCAGGGTTAGTTTACTTCAGAAGTGTTCAGGGTTAGTTTACTTCAGAAGTGTTCAGGGTTAGTTTATTTCAGAAGTGTTCAGGGTTAGTTTACTTCAGAGGTGTTCAGGGTTATTTTACTTCAGAAGTGTTCAGGGTTAGTTTATTTCAGAAGTGTTCAGGATTAGTTTACTTCAGAAGTGTTCAGGGTTAGTTTACTTCAAAAGTGTTCATGGTTATTTTACTTCAGAAGTGTTCAGGGTTAGTTTATTTCAGAAGTGTTCATGGTTATTTTACTTCAGAAGTGTTCAGGGTTAGTTTACTTCAGAAGTGTTCAGGGTTAGTTTACTTCAAAAGTGTTCATGGTTATTTTACTTCAGAAGTGTTCAGGGTTAGTTTACTTCAGAGGTGTTCAGGGTTAGTTTATTTCAGAAGTGTTCAGGGTTAGTTTACTTCAGAAGTGTTCATGGTTATTTTACTTCAGAAGTGTTCAGGGTTAGTTTACTTCAGAGTTGTTCAGGGTTAGTTTACTTCAGAGGTGTTCAGGGTTAGTTTACTTCAGAAGTGTTCAGGATTAGTTTACTTCAGAAGTGTTCAGGGTTAGTTTACTTCAGAAGTGTTCAGGATTAGTTTACTTCAGAAGTGTTCAGGGTTAGTTTACTTCAGATGTGTTCAGGGTTAGTTTACTTCAGAAGTGTTCAGGATTAGTTTACTTCAGAAGTGTTCAGGGTTAGTTTACTTCAGAAGTGTTCAGGGTTAGTTTACTTCAGATGTGTTCAGGGTTAGTTTACTTCAGAAGTGTTCAGGATTAGTTTACTTCAGAAGTGTTCAGGATTAGTTTACTTCAGAAGTGTTCAGGATTAGTTTACTTCAGAAGTGTTCAGGGTTAGTTTACTTCAGAAGTGTTCAGGGTTAGTTTACTTCAGAAGTGTTCAGGGTTAGTTTACTTCAGGAGTGTTCAGGGTTAGTTTACTTCAGAAGTGTTCAGGGTTAGTTTACTTCAGAAGTGTTCAGGGTTAGTTTACTTCAGAAGTGTTCAGGATTAGTTTACTTCAGAAGTGTTCATGGTTATTTTACTTCAGAAGTGTTCAGGGTTAGTTTACTTCAGAAGTGTTCAGGGTTAGTTTACTTCAAAAGTGTTCATGGTTATTTTACTTCAGAAGTGTTCAGGGTTAGTTTACTTCAGAGGTGTTCAGGGTTAGTTTATTTCAGAAGTGTTCAGGGTTAGTTTACTTCAGAAGTGTTCATGGTTAGTTTACTTCAGAAGTGTTCAGGGTTAGTTTATTTCAGAAGTGTTCATGGTTATTTTACTTCAGAAGTGTTCAGGGTTAGTTTACTTCAGAGTTGTTCAGGGTTAGTTTACTTCAGAGGTGTTCAGGGTTAGTTTACTTCAGAAGTGTTCAGGATTAGTTTACTTCAGAAGTGTTCAGGGTTAGTTTACTTCAGAAGTGTTCAGGATTAGTTTACTTCAGAAGTGTTCAGGGTTAGTTTACTTCAGAAGTGTTCAGGATTAGTTTACTTCAGAAGTGTTCAGGGTTAGTTTACTTTAGAAGTGTTCAGGGTTAGTTTACTTCAGATGTGTTCAGGGTTAGTTTACTTCAGAAGTGTTCAGGATTAGTTTACTTCAGAAGTGTTCAGGATTAGTTTACTTCAGAAGTGTTCAGGGTTAGTTTACTTCAGGAGTGTTCAGGGTTAGTTTACTTCAGAAGTGTTCAGGATTAGTTTACTTCAGAAGTGTTCAGGGTTAGTTTACTTCAGAAGTGTTCAGGGTTAGTTTACTTCAGAAGTGTTCAGGATTAGTTTACTTCAGAAGTGTTCAGGGTTAGTTTACTTCAGAAGTGTTCAGGGTTAGTTTACTTCAGAAGTGTTCAGGGTTAGTTTACTTCAGGAGTGTTCAGGGTTAGTTTACTTCAGAAGTGTTCAGGGTTAGTTTACTTCAGGAGTGTTCAGGGTTAGTTTACTTCAGAAGTGTTCAGGGTTAGTTTACTTCAGAAGTGTTCAGGATTAGTTTACTTCAGAAGTGTTCAGGGTTAGTTTACTTCAGAAGTGTTCAGGGTTAGTTTACTTTAGGAGTGTTCAGGGTTAGTTTACTTCAGAAGTGTTCAGGGTTAGTTTACTTCAGAAGTGTTCAGGGTTAGTTTACTTCAGGAGTGTTCAGGGTTAGTTTACTTCAGAAGTGTTCAGGGTTAGTTTACTTCAGAAGTGTTCAGGGTTAGTTTACTTCAGGAGTGTTCAGGGTTAGTTTACTTCAGAAGTGTTCATGGTTAGTTTACTTCAGGAGTGTTCAGGATTAGTTTACTTCAGAGGTGTTCAGGATTAGTTTACTTCTGAAGTGTTCAGGATTAGTTTACTTCAGAGGTGTTCAGGATTAGTTTACTTCAGAAGTGTTCATGGTTAGTTTACTTCAGGAGTGTTCAGGATTAGTTTACTTCAGAGGTGTTCAGGATTAGTTTACTTCAGAGGTGTTCAGGATTAGTTTACTTCAGGAGTGTTCAGGATTAGTTTACTTCAGGAGTGTTCAGGGTTAGTTTACTTCAGGAGTGTTCAGGATTAGTTTACTTCAGAAGTGTTCAGGATTAGTTTACTTCAGGAGTGTTCAGGGTTAGTTTACTTCAGAAGTGTTCAGGTTAGTTTACTTCAGAAGTGTTCAGGATTAGTTTACTTTAGAAGTGTTCAGGATTAGTTTACTTCAGGAGTGTTCAGGATTAGTTTACTTCAGGAGTGTTCAGGGTTAGTTTACTTCAGGAGTGTTCAGGATTAGTTTACTTCAGAGGTGTTCAGGATTAGTTTACTTCAGGAGTGTTCAGGGTTAGTTTACTTCAGGAGTGTTCAGGGTTAGTTTACTTCAGGAGTGTTCAGGATTAGTTTACTTTAGAAGTGTTCAGGGTTAGTTTACTTCAGGAGTGTTCAGGGTTAGTTTACTTCAGAAGTGTTCAGGATTAGTTTACTTCAGAAGTGTTCAGGGTTAGTTTAGTGATGAGTGTTTGTGTGCTGATCAGTGTTTGTGTGCAGATGAATGTTTGTTGTGTTTGTGTGCTGTGTGTGTGTGCTGATGAGGGTTTGTTGTGTTTGTGTGCTGATGAGTGTTTGTTTGCTGATGAGTGTGTGTTGTGTTCTGCAGTCCCTGGACAGAGAGGTCGGAGGTCGTGGCGTGTGCCGGCCGGGTTTCTCTGAGGATTTCTACACCACAGTGATTCCTGACGCTGTGCTGCTGCCGGGACAGCCCGTCTTCACCGGTAAACATGAGACCTGCACACACACACACACACACACACACACACATACACAGCTACTTCTCTGTTAACAGTGTCTCATTGGAACTACATTGACAGCGCTCCAACATTTATATCAACTACACACAGAACAGTGTGCAAATGTTTGAGGGAAAAAACGAAATAATGTTTAAATAAAAGTGAAAATAATTCTAAAGTCCATATTAACACCTGAAATATAATATATAAAACATGAGCAAATACAAATGTAAGTAATTCACTAGTTGGCATAACCTTGAAGGTTAATAGTAAACTAACTATGTTCTTGGGAGATGGTCCTCCCTGCAGAACACAAAATCCAGGGGGAGGAGTTATATCCAGATCCAACTCCTCCCATCTTACATATACCTAAAGCTACCCATCTCTGCCCCCTGATCCCTAACTCCACCCCTAATCCCAACCATCTTTGCCCCTGATTCCTAACCCCACCTTTAATCCTACCCATCTCCACCCCCGATCCCTAATCCTACCCATCTCCGCCCCTGATCCCTAACCCCACCCCTAACCCTACCCATCTCCACCCACTGATCCATAACCCCACTCCTAATCCTACCAACTTCCGCCCCTGATCCCTAACCCCACCCCTAATCCTACCCATCTCTGCCCCCTGATCCCTAACCCCACCCCAACTCCTACCCATCTCTGCCCCTTATCTCTAACCCCACCCCTAACCCTACCCATCTCCGTCCCCTTATCCCTAACCCCACCCCTAATCCTACCCATCTCCACCCACTGATCCATAACCCCACCCCTAAACCTACCCATCTCTGCCCCCTGATCCCTAACCCCACCCCTAATCCTACCCATCTCTGCCCCCTGATCCATAACCATAAACTGATCCAGACACACTGGAGTCCAGTGTCTCTGAGTCCAGTGTGTCTGAGTCCTGTGTGTCTGAGTCCAGTCGCGCTGCTCGCATCCTGTCTGTGTAGTAGACAGTGGTGTTCTAATAAATTTTACACAAAATATACTTTAAAACAGACACCAGATTCCGCTTAGACAAATGTCTCACGTGTTGAGAACACTACCTAATATATGAACACAAAATCATTCATGTTTAAGAGTCACTCCGGGTCGATTCATGACCAGTCAGAGAGTGGCAGCCTCTTGAACCACCACCACGTTCAGCTGAAAAGCTTCTGGAGTCCCTAATTGGCCAAAATTCTCTGTTCTATTTTTCTACTCTTCCCTGTGGATGACCTGCATCCTACTTAATTTTTGAGTTCATTTTAGAAAATTGAATTTGAAGTTCTGAATTTCTTAATTTTGAAAACTTGAATCTGTATTTTTTTAAACTGAATATTTGCAGTATTTGAATTCAGAACAAAACAATTAGCTGTTTTAAAATACATGTCTATAAAATTCAGCCATAAAAAACATTTCAATTTGTTAAATTTCAAATGTTTAACATTCGTTAAAAAAAAAAAAACTATTTAACTACTACCACCCCAAATTCTAATTTGTTAGATCAACTCAAGTAAAGTATATTTATATAGCGCTTTTCCCAATTTAAATTGCATCAAAGCAGCTTCACAGTATTCATAAAACATAATAACAATGTTCGTTTCTTAGTGGAAAAACATCCACGTTTGGTAGAGCCAAGGGTATTACTCATTGGTTAATTAATTTGTATATCACCAACTGAGCAAGCCAAAGGCAAGGAACTGAAAAACTCCATCAGGTGACCTAAAGGTGTCCTAAAACTCCATCAAGTGACCCAATGGTGTCCTAAACTCCATCAGGTGACTCAATGGTGTCCTAAAACTCCATCAGGCGACCCACTGGTGTCCTAAAACTCCATCAGGTGACCCAATGGTGTCCTAAAACTCCATCAGGCGACCCAATGGTGTTCTAAAACTCCATCAAGTGACCCAATGGTGTCCCAAAACTCCATCAGGTGACCTAAAGGTGTCCTAAAACTCCATCAAGTGACCCAATGGTGTCCTAAACTCCATCAAGTGACCCAATGGTGTCCTAAAACTCCATCAGGTGACCCAATGGTGTTCTAAAACTCCATCAGGTGACTCAATGGTGTTCTAAAACTCCATCAAGTGACCCAATGGTGTCCTAAAACTCCATCAGGTGACCCAATGGTCTCCAAAAACTCCATCAGGTGACCCAATGGTGTCCTAAACTCCATCAAGTTACCTAATGATGTCCTAAACTCCTTCAGGTGACCCAATGGTGTCCTAAAACTCCATCAGGTGACCTAAAGGTGTCGTAAAACTCCATCAAGTGACCCAATGGTGTCCTAAACTCCATCAAGTGACCCAATGGTGTCCTAAAACTCCATCAGGTGACCCAATGGTGTTCTAAAACTCCATCAAGTGACCCAACAGTGTTCTAAAACTCCATCAAGTGACCCAATGGTGTCCTAAAACTCCATCAGGTGACCCAATGGTCTCCAAACACTCCATCAGGTGACCCAATGGTGTCCTAAACTCCATCAAGTGACCTAATGATGTCCTAAACTCCTTCAGGTGACCCAATGGTGTCCTAAAACTCCATCAGGTGACCTAAAGGTGTCCTAAAACTCCATCAAGTGACCCAATGGTGTCCTAAAACTCCATCAGGTGACCCAATGGTGTTCTAAAACTCCATCAAGTGACCCAATGGTGTCCTAAACTCCATCAAGTGACCCAATGGTGTCCTAAAACTCCATCAGGTGACCCAATGGTGTCCTAAAACTCCATCAGGTGACCCAATGGTGTTCTAAAACTCCATCAAGTGACCCAATGGTGTCCTGAACTCCATCAAGTGACCCAATGGTGTCCTAAAACTCCATTAAGTGACCCAATGGTGTCCTAAAACTCCATCAGGTGACCCAATGGTGTCCTAAACTCCATCAAGTGACCCAATGGTGTCCTAAACTTCATCAGGTGACCCAATGGTGTTCTAAAACTCCATCAAGTGACCCAATGGTGTCCTAAACTCCATCAAGTGACCCAATGGTGTTCTAAAACTCCATCAGGTGACCCAATGGTGTTCTAAAACTCCATCAAGTGACCCAATGGTGTCCTAAACTCCATCAGGTGACCCAATGGTGTTCTAAAACTCCATCAAGTGACCCAATGGTGTCCTAAAACTCCATCAGGTGACCCAATGGTGTTCTAAAACTCCATCAAGTGACCCAATGGTGTCCTAAACTCCATCAAGTGACCCAATGGTGTTCTAAAACTCCATCAGGTGACCCAATGGTGTTCTAAAACTCCATCAAGTGACCCAACGGTGTTCTAAAACTCCATCAAGTGACCCAATGGTGTCCTAAAACTCCATCAGGTGACCCAATGGTCTCCAAACACTCCATCAGGTGACCCAATGGTGTCCTAAACTCCATCAAGTGACCTAATGATGTCCTAAACTCCTTCAGGTGACCCAATGGTGTCCTAAAACTCCATCAAGTGACCCAATGGTGTCCTAAACTCCATCAAGTGACCCAATGGTGTCCTAAAACTCCATCAGGTGACCCAATGGTGTTCTAAAACTCCATCAAGTGACCCAATGGTGTCCTAAACTCCATCAAGTGACCCAATGGTGTTCTAAAACTCCATCAGGTGACCCAATGGTGTCCTAAACTCCATCAAGTGACCCAATGGTGTCCTAAAACTCCATCAGGTGACCCAATGGTGTTCTAAAACTCCATCAAGTGACCCAACGGTGTTCTAAAACTCCATCAAGTGACCCAATGGTGTCCTAAAACTCCATCAGGTGACCCAATGGTCCAAACACTCCATCAGGTGACCCAATGGTGTCCTAAACTCCATCAAGTGACCCAATGATGTCCTAAACTCCTTCAGGTGACCCAATGGTGTCCTAAAACTCCATAAAGTGACCCAATGGTGTCCTAAACTCCTTCAGGTGACCCAATGGTGTCCTAAAACTCAATCAGGTGACCCAATGGTGTCCTAAACTCCATCAGGTGACCCAATGGAGAAAAAACCCTTGGGAGACCCCAGGCTCAGTCGGGGGCCAGTTCTCCTCTGGCGTTTATGAACTAAAGGCCGGATTTACAGTAACTGTAAGCAGTACTTGAAGTGGGGAAGAAAAGGTGCCGGTACTCTCTTGCATTGGCAAATCTTGACATTTGAAAATTTTACAGGGAAAAACAAAACTTGGAAATATTGCTCTTACAACAACAATTTATTGTTATTTACAACATCAATGTATTTAAACAAGTAGGGTGTGTGCGCGCATTTCTTTAAAAAGAAACATTATCTTTTTAGAAGTTGGTCATTAATAAACTTGATTCTTGAAGTTTGTTAAGATGGAAAGTATACAGCAATTGCCAGTAAATGGTAAACAACAGAAACAACCAAGAAAACAGCTCCCGGTATGTCTTTTCAGTCATAATTTGATGTGTTAACAAGACAGCAAACATAAAATAAGTAGGCCTACAGTACTTTGATTTGGGCATAGGCTACCTCTCTGTGTAGGCTATTACATAAACTAAAAGAAAAGCTTAGGCTATATTCAGACTAGCTTGCTTGTTTTATTTATTTATAAAACATAGTTTTACCCAAACTGAATAATTAAGACAAGTTTAAATGGCTAAATCCTGTATAAATATCTTTTTCTTTTCTGACGTATAGCCGACTCCAGTTCTTGTTAAAACACACTAGACATGCAAATTCTGTGCATTTGGTCACTTTTTGTGTGAAATCATATTTATTTTCTCCATCAAAAGTGTGCTTTCACCTTAAATGAGTGTGAGCACAACAAAAATAGCTACACTCCCCCGCTTCACTGCTGCTTACGCGACGCTCCTCCTCGCGGTGTGAATGTATTCGTTCACTGCTCACTCTTGCGGTGGCCGTGAATCCCGCGATCAGCTCCGGTTGCCGTTTCGCAGCTGTAACGCGACACAGATGTGTGCAGTAAATAAGGGGTTAAACGGCCGTCACGCTTTTTCTGTCAGTGGTTTAGAGTACTGGCTACATGCGAGAAGTAGCGGTACGCAAGAATAA